CATAAAATGGAAAATGTAAGTAAGCAGCACAGATTGCATTTTAAAAAGTAAAGAGGAAGATGGCATGAATATAAGAAAGGACTATCTAAACATTAAATATGTAATTATGAAGGCTGCAAATATAAATCTAACAACAGGCTCAGAGGTGCATCATCTTTTCCAGGTCTGGCCACTAACTATCTCCCATCCACATCTCTTGCACAATATGACTCTGCCATCTCCAGTGAAGAGACAAAGTGGGATCTCCTCTCCTTGGGATCTGAGTTCACTCTCACATGGTTGAAAACGTAAGATGTGATGGAGGCAATGCTATGAGACTTCAGCAGAGCAAAATCAGAGGAAGCCTGCATGTCTTCCTCAGTCTGTGAGATGCTTGCTCTCTAGACACATACTCTGAGATGCTCCCCCAAGAGCCCAGCTGACACAGCTCAAGGCCACACCCATGGAATCACCGTAAGCAGTGGCCTGGGAGTCAGCTCTTCCATTCTAGTGTAAGCCCTATCCCTAGACCTGGTTTTCAGGTGAGTCCAGCTTCCAGCCACTCCAACCTCTTGTGTCTTCTATGCTGGAGCCGGACACATGTTGGAGCAGGAAGACAGCCATTCTTGCTGTTCTCTGCACAAATTTCTGAGTCAGGGTCCAGAGCCATAATAAAAATGGTGCCCAAGAATGCCATGCAGACATGCAGCACTGATCACCAGAACAGGCTCCAAACAGAAGAGAGAAAGAGAGAGAGAGAGAGAGAGAGGGAGAGAGAGAGAGAGAGAGACAAAGGATCAAAGTGTGCAAAATAGAAGGCTATGAAGTAGTAAAGAAAACCAAAGGATCTGTACTCACAGCAAGAAAAGTTAACACAACTGTCAACAACAGTGCAAATTCTTAACACTTATAACTAACTGGCAATGCAATGCAGATCTAATTATATGCAACTGCAGGCTGATAATTCTGTGTGATATATAATACATGCCCTTTACAGATTAAACTTTAACTAATTGTTTAAAATTATTCTTACAATGATTCACCTTGTACTTACGTTAAGCAACTTAAGTTTGATTCCCCAGGACCATACTGTAAAAGGAAAGAACGGATTCCCAAAAATTGTCATTAGACCTCCACATGCAACTTACATTAAAAGAAATCCCAAATAGTTCAGAGTTAAACCAGCACAGTGTGAGCAAGGCTCCCTGATATAACACGGGAAATAGACAAGTGACAGCAAGTGACATCCAGTAGTAACGTGTGTATACCATGTGTTCACAAATGCATCATTAAATAATTCACAGTTTAAAGAGAAAGCTTAAAAGGAAACTGAAGATGCTTAGGAGTGGCCCGTGAGAACGCTTCGTGGAAGACTTGGTATGGAGAGGAATCAGCACTTGGAGGGTAACATATGCAATTGTTAGTCTTTCAGAGGGAGGGGCCAGGAATCAAAGCCTCCTGCCTGCTAGGCAAGTGCTCTGCCACTGAGCTACTGCCCCCTACTGGATGGACTCTTTTTAGTTACAGGAAAATTCAAACACATACAAAACCAAGGAGGAGCTTATAATAGACATCTACTCATCATCCAGCTTTAACTCTTACCAATATTTGACCATCTTTGATTATGTGGGGGCGATATATAGATCGCCCATAAATCCCTCAGTGTTCATCTCTAAAAGGCATGCCTTAAACGCATGGCATTGCCATCATGTCAAGTAAATTATTAATAATTCTCTAGTAGTTGTATCATTTGTTTGAATCAGGATTCCAAACAAGATTTGGTTCTTATATTGGTTTATATGTCTGTAGATATCTATAAACTCCACACCTTCTTCTTTTTACTCTTTGGTAATTACTAGTTGAAGAAGTCTGCAAGGGGCGGGTGAGATGGCTCAGTGGATAAAGGCACTTGCTGCCAAATCTGACAACCTAAGCTTCATTCCCCAGGACCATGTTGTAAAAGGAAAGAACTGATTCCCAAAAATTGTCATTAGACCTCCACATGCATCATAGAGCACATGCAAACAGACAACACACACACACACGATAAATAATAAATGGTACAAACATACATGCATACATACATACTTTTTTTTATTAAAAGGACCATACAAAAAAGTTTCTCTACCAAAATTTCCTACATCCTGTGTTTCGTTGATTCTAGTCCCATGGAACTACTGAAAACATTCAGAGTTTCCTCTTCTTCCTATAGTTTAATTGTGGCTCAAATCTGTTTTGGACACTTCACCGGCACTGGAGCAAAGCAGCAAGCTTTGGCATCATTAAGGATCATGGCCTACATCTGAATATTCACTAAGGGCTGCAAATGAAGGATGCCCCATGTATAATTAACTAAAATTCTTCCAAACACAGCTTGCCACAACTTCTATCTTCCCGTAGGAACAGCCTGTATAGGGAAATCAAAACGAATGCTACATTCTCCCCGTTTAAAGGGTTTTTAGGATAATGAACTAACTAACATGCTCACATTAAACATCACTGTAAGGCATACTTCTAACATTCTTATTAGCTCGCGGGTTTGAATAAACATGATCTACTTCAGTCCTCTACAGATTGGATTCTCATTTGATGGCCATATTGTCTCACTGTTGGCCAGAGAAAATGAGAGCCTTTAACTAGGCATCACGATCCTATTGCTGTGACCCAGCTCATCTTGTGTAAGGTCTTCGTTATCTATTGTGACAGATGTTCCAGGATCATTTTGTATATTTTCTGCCCCAGATCAGGACTCAGCCATTCTTCAGTACACGCTAGTTCTGTTCAGTGGTGTGACCGTTGGAGAAATGTGTTTTCTAACAAACAGTTCGGAAATAAGGTGGTTACTTATCCCATCATTTCAAGATGCTAGAAACAGAAACTGTGTCAGCAGAGAAGCACAGTAGGAGGAAGGAGAGAAAGGAAGAAATGAAGACCTATAATACACTTCCTTACAAAAATTTAGTGTGATTCATTTAATGATAATAAACTTTTAACCAGTCTTCATGAGAAGGAAAAGGCAGACATGAGAGGATGAAGTTCTATCTACAGAAGACATCAAAAGTCACACCTTAAGCTCAATACATTGTGCTTCTTGAACTTCCAGGAAAAAAAAAAAAAAACAGAGCTCAGTTCCCAGCACCCACGCAAGGTAGGGCTCACAATATTATAACTCAAGTGCTGTGAGATCTAATACCTTTTTCTGACACCATACATGCATATTTTACACACACACACATGCACACATACAGAGAGAGAGAGAGAAAGAGAGGGAGGGAGGGAAGGAGGGAGGAGGAGGGAGAGAAGGAGGAAGAAGGAGAGGAACAGGGAGAGAGACTTTTAAATCCAAAAAGAAAAATACAATATCTGGACAAAACTATGAAAGAACTGAATAGTAATCAAAAAATTTTTGCCCATTCCCAAACACATGGAGCCAGGAGAATGGGTCCTGTCAAATAGAGAACACATGCTGGTTGGTCACTGTGTCCCCAGTGACTAGAAGAGGACCTGGCACACACTGAGCATCCAGTGGGCATCTGCTAAATAAACAATCTAAATGACCACAAACACTTTCAAAGATAGAAATTACTTTATGGAGACAGGTAAGTTTATTTTCTATATTGAAATGAAAGAAGGAAGAAAAGTGGGGAGGAAATGACAAGAGAAAGAGAGAGAGAAAGCAAGGGAGGGGGCTATGGATCAATCACTTCATAAAAGGAGATGAAAGATATCTTAGGTTAAAAAAAAAAGCATTAGGGACTGAAGAGATGGCTCAACAGTTAAGAGCATTGACTACTCTTCCAGCAACCACAAGGTGGCTCACAACCATCTGTAGTGGGATCTGATGCCCTCTTCTGGTGTGTCTGAAGACAGTGACAGAGTACTCATTCATAAAACGAATAAATCTTTTTTTAAAAAAATCATTAAATTTAATTCCATAATATATTGTAATAATGCAGTGTATCCCAGGAGGGTGGGGAGAGTTTATAACACCAAGTGATAACAGGGTGAGATAATCTCAGTAAATGCAGGATAAGGTTTGAAGAAACCGAACCTTTTCAGGAGCAAACATCATTTATTTCACCAAGACCGAGCATTTATCCATGTCTAAAATAAAGAGTATATTAAAGGGCAAGGCACTGGAAGAGGTCTCTTTAAGACAAAAACAAGAGCAAAATGCCTTTGTTGCAACTCCTACCTACCATTGTCTTGTCTTGAATGCCAGCAACTTAATTGTACATGCAGAGAAGAGTTGAGAAGAGGAAACAGCACCTCTCCCTCCGGCAAGAGAATTCAGAGGTCCTCAAGGCATGGTACAGTGCTCAAGCTTTACCTGGCACACATCAGGTCCTGGGTGTGGATAGCAGCACTTCAAATAATGATGATTCAGCAGGCTCACTAGAGACAAAGTGTATATAGAAAAATCAATAGAGACCCTATGCAGTAATAATTTATCAGAAAACATAATAGGGCAATAGCTCATCCATAGTGTCAAAATATAAAAGTCTATATAAAGATCCTTGAAACAAATAGTATGTTTTGTGGAGGAAAATCTGAAATAGTATTGAAGTTCATGAAAGCAAATCTGAAGGAATAGAGACATTCTACAGTCACAGGAGGGAAGCATCAATCTCATAAAGATGGCAAGTCTTCCCTAAAGTAACCCATACATTAAATGTAATTCTAATCAATGCCTAATCAATATCCCAACAGGAGTTTTACTTAGTAGAAAGCTGGAGGTCTTACTTAGCAGGCGATGACAAAAGCCTCATTAAATTCATAGAGAAGCATAAAAACTGGAGAAGAGGGACAGGGTGAGTAGAGGATGGGCCACCGGGGCCTGGGCACAGAGGGAAGTCATTGTCCCATAAGATTTCAGATGTTCTACAAAGCTATCGTAACTAAGACCGATGGGTACTGGTGCCACTACGGAGGAGACACCAGTTAGCATTATATCCTGGAGCAAATTCCTCAGAACAACCCCCAATCCCATATGGAAATTCAGCTTTAAAGCATCTACATTGTCTGCCCCAGGAGCATTGCAGGAGTGGCTGCTGTGTCACATGTGCGTCAGTAGGTGGCAGAGAGGAGAGAGGTTATGCCTACACTCAGTGTTCCGAACTGTGAACATCTGAATGATTAACATCCCCAGAAAAGCAAGCTAAGATGACCACCAGTCTGTCCCCAGGCAGGTCTTAGGGAACATACCATACTGGAGATGACCCCTGCCTGGCGCCATACTGCACAAGTGGGGCATAGCCCTCCTGAGATGACCCCAGACACTCGGAGACCCCAGGCACCACTAAGAGGAGCAAGTCAATGGTGGAGAAATAGAAGAGAAAAAGAAACAGAAGGCTGTGGGCACAGCGAAGAGAGGTAGAACTGGAGACTTGAGAGTAGTTAAGAACAGCCCAATTTGAGTAGCCAGTGATGCCACAAGGGGACCTGGGATTCTGACCTGTGCTGGCACAGAGTGTCACATCTGGGTCCATGGTCCTGCAGTAGCAGGGTTCTGTTACTGCCAAAGGCCAGGCAGATGTCCCTGGTCTGGGCTGTCACCCAGGGACTTGTTGATGTCTGAGGGTTGTGAAGAACTGGCCCCAACCCTTACCTGAGCATAGTGGGAGAACTGGCCCTGGAGGCATGAGAGCAGGACAGATGATCCTACCCTAGCCAGCTGCAGTGCTGGGGAGAGGAGGCAGACACACACACACACACACACACACACACACACACACGCACAGATTGCAGTTAATTACAGGTGAGCTGCCCCCACGGATATGACCATAGGAGACTGAGCCCTACCATTCCCATGCTGTAGCATGGATGAAGAAGAGATACCTTCCTCCATACTTGCCCCTCACTACCTGTGGCAGGAGGGAGAGCTGTCCCTGGGGTCATGAGACCAGGAGAGCTGGTCCTGCCCCTCACCAGCTGCAGCACTCAGAAGAACGGGCTCTGCACCTCACGTGGGTAGCAGAGTAGAGCTGGCCCTGATTTGAGGGATTGCTGGTGAGCCAGCCCTGAGCGTGTGATAGTGGGAGAGTGGGAGGGTGGGCGGGATGAACAGCTCACAGACCCCTCAGGCCTAGATCTAGGGCTTCAAATTGGCTCAGCCAATTCAACATCTACCCATTAATGAACTGCTGGAGTGTATGAAGGGACTGGTCCTACAGATCCAAAACTACAGAGTTTCTCTGACACAGGGCAACAAACAACATGATATCCCCATGAGGATCCAGTGAGTCTCCATGAGGAGCCAATATCGATAGAGTAGCAGAAGCCAGAGGCCTCGCACCAGGCCAGTTAGTCATTGCAACAAGCATTTGCAAGCAAAGAAGTGTGGACAAAAGGGTGTACTGTGGGACACACTGTGACACACTGCAGCTCTCACAATGAGATTTTTTTCTCTGTTGTGGGGAAGTTGCAAGGGTGGAGGACAGGTATGAGGGGAGGGGAGTGGGATCGGGGTGCATGATGTGAAATTCACAAGTAACCAATAAAAAGTTTTTAAATCTCTTTATTGTGGATATCTTATAGAAACTGCATTTTTAAAAAATAAATGATGCAAAAGTCATTGATTCAGAAGGAAATAGTAAGAACATTCTTTAAAAGAGCAGAAATGTATTTGATCTTAGTTACTAAAAAGAGCAATGAAAGTATAATGTGCTTTATTAAAAGTATTAATTAAATCCAGTGGCCCTCAAGCCTGCTCCTTTCTTCCTTCTGATGCTGGCTTTCCTCAAATGTAGCTCTGCCTCTGCCTTTGAATCCAGAGGCTGCTTTCTTTGCTGGTCACTCACTCCCTACCTACTTTCCAACGCAGAGAGCTAATTAAAACCATTAGTTCTTTCCTGTGAGCCCACACAGCTAGGAGAATGCACCAGCTTACTGACCTGGGCTGTGGAAAACTCAGACACTGAAGATGTCTACCAAATCAGAAACAACCTTTCAATATTAGAAAATGGTAACATTCTTCAAGCCCACTTTTAGATCATTTAATTTGATGACCCTGCCTAGGTTTATATCCCAAGTGTACAGGTCTTCAAAAGTTAAGATTCTCTAGTATAAAATCTCCCATGCAACCCAGGCTAGTCTTGAACTCTCTGCCCTCTGCCTCAGCTTTTTTACCACATCACCATACCAGGATCAGATATTTTACAGCCACAAAAATAAATAAATAAATAAAAGCACTTTGGCGGTGTGTTCAATAGTAAATTAATTAAAGGATATATTTTATTGAAATAAATAATAAAATTGTTATTTTGAGACAGCTTCACTCTATAGCCCAGGCTGGCCTCACACTCAAGGCAGTCCTTAGGCCTCAGTCTCCAGATGCTGGGCTAGATGAATGAACTACCATGTCCAGATTACTTAATTTTTGAAAAGGAAAAATTGATTGCAAGAGTTCATCTCTTTCCTGCAGGAAAGGGCTGTAAGTTTTCGCTGAGTTTCTAGGTCAGAGTCTAATCCGTGTAGCCAGCTCCAGAGTTTAATATCGCCCCTGCCTCCACTCTCCTGAGGCGTGATGTTCTTTGTGAGTGCCACAATTATGCTAGACAAGTGATGACTTTGATAGGAAAGGAAGAAGATTAGAAATAATTTCTTTTAATTGTCCGAGTTTTAAAACTCATTACATGTGACACAGATGCTTTCAACAGCACGGAACCAAATTCAGCTTGCTAACTCCCAAAAAACAGCTGAAACAGGAGGCTGAAGTCAGCCAGGAGTAGAATAAATTCTAACCCCTCACACTGCTTCTTTGAGCCCAGATATTTCTTCCCACAACTCTTGGTCCTCACAACGGAAGTTGGTGACATGGCCTTTTAAACAGTCCTGACTGGAGTGTCTAAACCTCAGAGGATTCCCAATGCCGAATTACAAGATGCATGATATCCCCTTGAGGGTCATATCCAAAGAATATGCACGATTATAGGCCAGTAAGATGAAATGGGCCATGATGTATACATAACTCTTACCTCCCCGCCTCAAGAAAGCACAAGATAAAGGCAGTTTTAGGAGGCATATTAGCCCTCTCTGGAGGGGCAGAATCAATACAATATAGGTGAAATTATGAGAGAATTTATTAGATTGAGGTGTCTAGACCATAGCTGTTAATAGAGTGCCAGCCACAGAAGCACAGAGGCTTGAATGGATTCCTAGCTCCCACAGAAAATGTCCAGGAGTGGTGGCAGATGTCTGTAACTCCATTGCGGGGGTGGGGGAGAAGGAAGGAGGAGACAAGAGATTCCCTGAAGCTCACTGGCCACTCTGCCTACCTTAGTCAATGAGTTCAAGACTCTGTGAAAGAACTTGTCCCAAAAAATCAAAAGCAAAAACCAAGAAAGACAAATTAGAAAGCAATCAAGAAACACTTGGCTTTGACCTCTGGTCTCCACACACACGCACAGCCACACACATTAGCATGGACATACACTGCATGCACACACACAGCAACATACATACACATGCAGTTTGGCTCACACAATGAAAGACTGAACAGTCCCACCATGGTAGCCTGCAGTACAGAGAGTTAAGAGAACCAGTTATCTTTTCAGTCCCAGAAACTGAAAGGCTCCAGACAAGAAGAACCAACAATGCAGCCTAGGTCCAAGGCGGAAAGCCTGTAAGCACCCTGGAAAGTTGCTACCAGGAGTCCACATTGAGGGGCTGAAGAATTGGGGCTGAAGAGATGGCTCAGGGGATTAAGAGCACTGGCTACTCTTCTAGAGACCTGGATTCCATTCCCAGCACCCACAAGGCAATCACTGAGCACTTGTAACTGCAGTTTCAGGGGATCTGACTCCCTCTTCTGGACTCTGTGGGCACCAGGCCTGCATGTGGTAGGTGGACATACAGGCAGGAAAAAAAACTTGCACTCATAAAATAGTAAAACAATCATAAAGTTTGAAAACAAATAAACAAAGCTGATGAATCTGGTATCTGGGGTCCACTGGCTATGACAGGAAAAACGCACCCTCTTGAGAATTGCCTGTAGCAAGCCTCCCCCTTCTCCCACTTTGTGCTCCATCAAGGACCTCAGTCATTTGCTAACACCCCCAACATTCAGGATGAGTCTTCATCTATCCGTTCTGTACTCCACGTCCCTGGAAACACCCTCACAGACAGACACACCCTGTTGTCTTGCCAGTTACCCAGGTGTCTCTCAATCCAATCTAGTTGACAGCCAAGGTTAAGCATCTCAGAGGGGTACCCTGCTCAGAACTTCACATCTTGTGTTAGTAAGATGTGGGCAAGGCACTTGCCACTAGGCCTGATGACCTGAGTGTGATCATTGGGACCTACTTGAGTGGGAACAGGATACTGACCCCTGTATATTTCTCTCTGACTTCTGCCCACACGCCATGGCATGGACACATGAAAAATAAAAATCAGTTTTAAAATGGTTTATGTTGTTCATACACTCACTTGTCTGTCATAAGGGGGCAGCCGCTCTAAGAACAGAACTTCAGGTAGCAGTGACATCACTATTCAGTGGTAAGAACCCTGTTCTCCGGTGTCACAGTATCTCAGTCCTCTTGAGACAGAGTGGTTGATTCACACAGGCACTTCGACTTTTATTATTGCTAACTTTCATCTCCATGCTTACATTTCATGGACTCCTCAAGTCTGGAAATGAGAGCTCTCTGTGGGTTAAGTTTAAGGCTTCCTGACAGAAGACGAAGCAGGGATCTCAGTGGCAATTTTAAAAAGAAGTTTAATTGAAGTCTGAGATGTTGCATAAATGGAAGATATAAGTTTTAATTGAAAAATAATTATAACCACTTAATCATTTTTAAATGAGGGCTGTAATTGCAGTCAGTGCACAATGGCCACATACAGACACCGAGATCCCCGCAATAAAGCAGGGATGGTACAGCTTGATTTGCTAATAGCACTTCCACTTCTCCTCCCTTTTGTCTCAAAGATTAATTCAGGCAAGGGCTATTAGTGCTGTTAATTGGTTCTGCAATTTAGACCTTGTGTCTGTGAATGAATGACTGATGCAGTCGCTCAGCCAATAAATGGGAACACTTCGTCAATGCTTCCTATTGTCCAGTAGGGCATCATCCTGGCTGCCCAGCCTCCCTCCCACCAGCCATTGGGGACAAAAGGCCCCAGTGCCTCTTCTAGGTCACAGCTTCAGAAGGACCC